GTTAGGCTTACACAGAGCTGGCTGCCTGTGCTCTGACAGTAAGGTACAATGTTAGGCTTACACAGAGCTGGCTGCCTGTGCTCTGACAGTAAGGTACAATGTTAGGCTTACACAGAGCTGGCTGCCTGTGCTCTGACAGTAAACTGAATGGGACTCCCAACCACTGTATATAGCACATCTCCCTTAGCTGGAGTAGGAGACAGGAACTGTGGAATCACATCTCCGGGAATACAGCTTTCCAGTGGCTGGTCAACTAAAATGAAACAAAAAAATAGCTTTAAATGCCTGGAAAAATGTACTTACAACATTAAGTGATTTTGCTCTTTATGCAAAATATCTGGGTTTTCAAAGCATGAGATTAATAGAAATTCTGTTCATTATTGTCCTTTATAATTTAACAGGCTACTACATATTATTATTATTATTATTATTAATAATAATAATAATAATAATAACAATTATTATTATTATTATTACAATGATAATTGTTATTATTATTCAATATAAATAGAAGGATCTGTGATGTTCACAACAAAGTGCATACTCTGAATGGAGAACTGTAAAGGCAGCTGACTCAGTGGCATTGACCCAGGATTTCTCACAGAAGTTTCACCATCATTGTAGGACAGTGTGATGATTTCAGTTGGATAGTCCTCCACCACCATATCGAATACATGCATACCCAGGCTTGAAGAACCATTGATGTACAAATCACAGTTTTGCTGCAGAAAAAGAAAGATGATTATAGAATAAAAAAAAAAAAACACAAGTGGGAACATTGTAACACAAACCTTGACTGAGTCGGTTACCTCATCGAGAAAGAAGTCTGGACGTTGATTACAAGACTCACAGTATGGATACCTGCAGGCCACATTGTCTCCATCCGGATCATAGGTCAGAAATTGCAAAGTTGAATTGCAGTTCTGAGGAATTCTTCATGCGGTACACAAGGAAGAAAACACATGGCAAATTATTTAAGCAAACGTTTGAAAAGAATGAATTATTGTAGACTACATGCAAATATGTGAACAAGAAATGACACATACCTGATGGTTGGTGTAATAGTTATGACAGGTGGCCTGTTCATGTATTGGGTGTCGGAGCGTTTTCCGCCATCAATATATGTAATTAATGTCCAGTTGCTGGCACCATTGACATTAGAGGCCCAGCAGCAGCCACTTTCCCTGTTTCATTTTCAGAAGAAGGACAACCATTCCCAATAACTGATACCCTGCAGATTCATAGATCTTTATAGCAAATACATTTTGAAATAGCAATTTAGGAACTGTTATTTCACCATATTAAATTCCCGTTCCTGTGGCCAACCCTCAAATCATTCTTTCAATGAGGGTTGGCAAAAAAAGCCAGCATACAGTACCGCTTGGAAGTACAAATGCTGAGCAGCTCTGCTGTAGGAAAAAATATACGCTGAATAAAGTGATATTCTCAGTTATATTTTAGAAACGTAAGATCAAATCAACATCCGATTACCGTCAACAGTTGTCTCTATACTGACAAAACCGGGAAGTTTTATTTAAACACTCTTAGTCTTTAAAATTCAGAGAAGACAGGCACTAAACCTATAACATCAGGGCATATGCTGCCGATACTAATATAGGGATGACAAATGCAGATTCTTGACACACCCATGACAAATTTGTGGCATGAGCACATTCACAGATCTAATGAAGTGACTGCTTAGCATGACTTTCCCCATCATGGTTTCTATATATCACGGAGTCGGTATAAGAAATTAAATGAGAATTTTTTGGGAGTTTTGCAAAAGCCTCAGATGACCCGCAAAGGCCAGCAAGACGACACACAAAAAGTTTAATAACTTATAAAAGCATAAAATATATTTACAGTGTTGGTTTGGAGGATGTCAAACATATTTACAATAACCTCTCACGTGATATGTTGCAGTGATCTAGCAGTGATCTTTGTACAGTATCTTGTGTTTCTCGTCTGTCCAAGGGGACAGAAAGATTCTACATGGTTTTTCCAGATCACGGGAAACCTGCACCCTAACCCCCGTGATGTGGAAGGGTTGACAGTATAATCTATACCATTACTAATATATAACCCTCTCAAGGCAGGCGTTGCTGATTTGCAACAGTTAAAAACTAACTACCTTATTACCCCACATACATATTTTATGAGTTTTTTTTACTCAGAAGTACCACTGCAGGACTTGGTTGTCCTGTCGTTACTAAAACTTAATTTGAGCCTGAAAGGGATAACATTGGGGACACAAATAATTCTTTTTATAATACCTTTATGACACACGTTGGATTCACATGTGTTGTGTAGTGGTTAATACATATGTAGGTGTGTGTGTGTGAGTGTGTGTTTTAGACAAAACAACTTTAAGAATACACTGATAAAAGTTTACTGCTGCTAAATTGCATCATTTCTATTTAACAAACTTCCCATGATTTGTACATACTATGTGCTCAGAAGCTTACCGTAGAGAATATGGCTTGTCACTCGAGCTGTTCATCAGTATGTATCCCTCAGATTGACACCACAGTCCTAGGTCAGAAGTGTCCTCGTCGGCATCTCCGACTTCAGAAAACACAATCTGTCCACAGTCCCCACTATCACAAACCCAAGAGAACTGATGCTGACACTGGGCCCCGTATGACTCTTTGTAGACGAAACTCATCTATCAACAAGCACAAATTAATGATTAGTTTATGTTTACAGGCATGCCAGGTTAAAGAGAGAGTTCTATATCTAAACTGACTAATCATCTTCTGGTTTTATACAGCTGAATACAGAATTATCTTTTTCATGCAAGTTATTTATTTTTGGTTTAATTGCAGTCTAATCAAAATGTTTTTATTAGAAATTGAGAAATCTGAGAACTCTGCTTTTCAACTAATTCTGCTTACTCATGTAGCTTGTTTCTTTTAAATTAAAATAAGAAAGTGTAGCACAATATTCCTTTTTGAAGGAGACGAAAAGTTCCCACAACCACATGTAATAGCAATTCTCTGACAATTCTCTCTTCTGTAAGTCCCTGAATACTGCCTCCCTACCAGAACTGTACCATCCTGGTCTGTTCTTGCAGGCATGAAAGTCATTAATCCACCGTGAAAGTCCTGACTGAGGCATTGTGCAACGAAAAAACCAGCCAGAAGCACTACAGAAGCTGCCATGGCGTCTGAGTAGGCTTCTTTAGTGAGCTGCTTTTCATCTGTGGAGCTGCAATGCGAGGCACATCACACAAAACCTGTTTTCTTTTTGAAAGCATATTTAAATATTTAAAGAATGTTTATGTATCATGTGGGTGCAATTCAGTAATTGAGCTGTGAAATGTCACATACCTGGACAAGAAATTAAGCTGCATGTTCAGATACTGCAGGCATCATTCATACACAGGGCAAATTCAGTGGAAGGTTAAATGAATAAACAAACAAACCATTTTTTAAAAGCTAAGATTACCACAGAAATAGCCAAAAATGTAGTTCTAGCTTTAGGAACTACCAGTTTGCCAGTTATGGATGATCTAAGGGCTCTGCTGGGTTTGTAGACTTCAAGCATCTCCGAAATATATTTTGGGCCTTGACTATTTAGTGATTTATAGACAGCCAAAAATATTTTCAAATCAATTCTATAGCTGACTGCAAGCCAGTGTAAAGACCCAAGAGTTGGGGAGATATGCTCTGTTCTTTTAGTTTTAGTGAGCAGTCTTGCAGCAGCATTTTGAACAAGTTGCAGTTGTCCAATTGTCTTTTTAGGGAGACCAGACAAAAGAGCATTACAATAATCCACCCTACTAGAAATGAGAAGATGGATTATTTTATACGCTTACTAAAGATTAAATCAGTGTCCATTGTGTCCATTAAAGCACTAAGGTTTAAAAGATTTAAAAGAAGCATCAACTTCAATAGAAGTTGTGCCTAAAACAAATCCTTGTCGGTCCCTGTATGTAATGATCCATGAGACTCTACAAAATGATTCCTTGGTTACTTGGCAGTTACAGAAAACGGGTGGATGGTTATTACTATGATAATAATATAATCTTCTACTGTACTAATTACTATATTTATTAATCTGCAAATAAATAATTAATGACACAAAAAGTAAAATATGTCATTTTCGTTCATTATTAATGAATCATGAAGGATGATTTATTTCAAGCAGTTACTATATTTGTTACTATAGGTGTTCATTTTATGAACATTTGTGAATTACTGAAGGAACAAAGAATGAATAGCACAAAAAATGAAATACCAGTCTCATGTTTTTTCATCATTAATGAATCGTAACACTTTATCTCAGGTAATTATATTTGTTCATGATTTGTTCTTGAGTAGTAAATGATTTACTACTATTAATTTACTACTATTAAGGAGCTGTAAAGTATTATCTAATTATCTAATGCAACAATATAGGCCCTGGCTTCCAAGTAGGACTTAAACCAGCTAAGTAGAGTTCTAGGTAATCAAACCCAATTTTGCAGTCTATCTAATTAAATTTTATGATCAACAGTATCAAACACTGCAGTGCGATCTAAATGCACAAGAATAGGTACCTTTCCTATTCTATGAATCAACATGAATGTCATTCATGACTATGATATGCTCAAAATCCAGACTGGAAATCATCAAAGCAGGCATTACTTTTTAAAAAGTGACTAAGCTGATTGTAAGCTGCTTTTTGAACAATCTTGCCTATGAAGGGAAGATTGGAAATAGGTCTCTGAAGGTTCAGAAGGAAGGGATCTAGACTGTATTTTTAAAAGCAGTTTAATACCTGCTGCTTTTAAAGATTTTGGGATAACGCCTGACAACAATGAAGTATTTACAACTAGCAGCACGTCTTGCTTAATAATGAATGAATTTTATCATTTTTAAGGTCTACTTATTGGGGTTCCTGTACCCCTAGTCTCTGACACAGAATGAACATGCCAAAAGGTATATATTAAAAAATATATACTTCTCTTACCCCATCAGTCATGTATACCTGAAGATGTTAAGTCTCAAGATGTTAAGCCATGTTTTCTGGATCCTCACATGAGTGCACAGAGCAGCAAAAGAACACGGTGCTTTAGATATTCTTCACAAATCAAAGATTCACAAATTCACTGATGGTTAAATTGATAAAGAGATAAAACCCCTATACTGTAGCATGTTTGGCTTGTTGTTGATTCTGCTGAAATCTGTGCTTGCAAGTAATGAAATCACATTGCACCCGAGTGTGCAGAACAGATACTATAAATGGAAAGATTCCATACATCTTTTGACTTAATGATCTTTCAACAATACAATGTACAAACAGAGAAGATAAATCTGCTTTCATTCCATATATTCCGGGTTTCATTCCATATATATCGTCATTCATTCCATATATATCGGGTTTCATTCCATAAATATCAAAGATGATTAAATATTTCCTGTTTGGCATGCCATAATATATATATATATATATATATATATATATATATATATATATATATATATACATATATATGTGTGTGTGTGTGTGTGTGTATGTAAGTATGTATATACAGTACATACATGCACTTGCTTGTTTGCTTTACACACAACCTAATAATTTTCCTACAAGAATTTCTTCTATTCCCCAAAAAGTTACTGTCTGTTGGATGACTAAAAGACAATTTAAGTTCACAAAAACCTCTTCTCAAGATCACCCCAGGTATTCCATTCATTACATTACAACTCTTTTACCTAGAAACTTCAATACTATGCAGACGGTCCATGACCTATTACTGGATTTCATTCCAACAGACAGTTCGCACACTGAAATGAATATAAGTCAGAATAGGCTAATCACACTGACTGTTAGGTATGAGAATAAGTGTATGAGGCCGGGATGGTTGTGCTGCCAGACAGTACATTCCATGCCCACGGCAATTTTTGCACGGCACGCAGTGCGCAGTAGGTAGAGTGGTCTGTACTCAAAGTAAAAAAAAAGCTTTGGACGTATGTGTGAGTTGACGTAAGTCGCATAAGTTGTAAATCTGTTTGTTGTAAAGCACAAACTCTGAAAAATGTCTACAATGCTTGCCAAACCTGTATCTAGCCAAGCTTCCATTCTGCAACACCCAGCCTGGATTATTAGCACATTAGGCTCATGAACTTGTTATGCTGGTTGTACATATTAGGATCTTGCTGTCAATTTCCATTTGCATGAAACTGAGCATTTCGTTTGTAGCTACCCGTGTATGACTTCTGCGTAATTTATTGGTTTTCTTGCTCCTTGTATCATGGTCTGGATTTGGTTATTTTCTCCATGTTGCTCATACTGGCCCAGTGATATTCTGCCTGTGTTTTGACTATGGATTTTGGATTACAGTTTTGATTTGTTTCCCTTTGTTTGCTGTTATCTGCCCCCTGAGCTTCTGCTAGTCAAACTTCCATCAAAACATCACATTATTTCAAATGTTATGGGTAATTTAGCATCAAAGCACAGATAAAATTAATCTTCAAAATTTTACAGTGGTATTTACTGTATGTTACCTTAACCATATACATACACACCTTAAAAATCTATGAGGTGAAATAGAAATGTAATATAAAAAATGCAATATTTACAAGCCTCAATCAATAGTGTTTATCATTTTTGCATTGTAAGCATCAAGACAAAGCAGATTAGATAGCCTAATAGGGTCATTTCTATTTATTGATTTATTCATAAATGAACAGGTTAACAGAGTTAATGCTCACGTTAATATAGGCAGGGTCTAATCCATAACACGATTTCATAATTATTATTGGGGGGTTGTGGTTCAGCAGACCCACCAGTTCAAGCCCAGCTTCAGAGGACTCATCATGTCCATGAGCCCTTGAGCTATCTCTTGCTATGAGTTTTTTGTTATGGCCCACCCCTGCCCCTGCTGTTCTCCTCATTAGCAGTGTTTACATGGACCCCTCCATCCTGTGTTCCCCAGTCTTGGCACTGTTGAATTGTCGTATGTAAGAACCTACTCCCCTCTGTAATTTCCTCAATAAAATCAGTTTTCTGTGCAAAGGCTGCCACTAGGGTGTTTTACTCCTTCTTGCCACTACGGACATGACAGGTGTGCACATTGCTTTTGCATCCGACTCATTTGTGGACTGTTTGAGTGTATTTGATATTGATAATTTTGTTAAAAAGTCCATGAGATGTTCCTTAATTTAGTTGGCAGTATAAATTTGCGTTATGACAAGAAATTATTGTGCATTTTAACTTTATACTCAAAATGAAATGTGAACTCACCATATAAAGGTTAAAGTGCATCGTGATTCCTTGTCTTGACGGAAATGCACATAAAAAAGTTATATGCATCTGCATTGTTAGAACAAAAAATTGTGGCACATATCACTTTACTCAATATTGCCATGCATATCACTTTACACAATGATTGTGAACGCAGGCCCACTGCGACATTGTGCCTTTAATAACTACCCGCTGTTATCTGTCTGTTAACCAGTTTTCGATTCAAACTGCGACCATTCCTAAACTCCCTACAGCTTTGAGCTTAAGCAAGAGCCGTTTGTGAGGGACAACATCAAAGGCCTTCTGGAAATCTAAGTATATCACATCGTAGGCCTTTTTGTGATCAATTTCTCTTGTAGCTTCCTCAAAGAACTCAAGTAGATTAGTTAAACAGGACCTACCTCTCCTAAATCCATGTTAGCTATCCCTCAGAATGTTATTTGAATCCAGGTAATCTACCATTTTCACTTGGATTATAGCTTCCATTATCTTTCCGAACTGATTGGCCTATAGTTTGCTGGATTACTTCTATCCCCTTTCTGAGCATATATATAAATCTACTCAAATCCTCTCTGGGAACAGTATCTTCAAACTGGTATCGGAGCAGATGGTGAGATGATCTTGATTTTTCCACACAAATCTGTTTGATTGTGAGCTCCTGAATGTGTCTTTTAGAATGAGTGATTCAGGACTTCATCCAGCCTTCTCTGGACCAGTGGGTTATTCCTCCAGGGGGTGTTCTAGGTCGGTAAAAACTCTGGATCCTCGGCAGGTAACTGTGGAAGATACTTCCTCGATTCACCTCTTCTAGAAAGCAGATGGTTACAGAGCTTTAACACTGTTGCTTTGCTCAATTTTTCCAATGGAAGTTTCGACCCTCGCATTCTCATTTTCTTGGAATTCCCTCAAGATCAAGTTTCCATTGTCAAAATACATTTTTTGGTTCCCTTAACTGTTTTCAATAGCCTTCACTAGATCTGATTTTAGAAAACTGGGAGGAGTGCATGTCTCATACTTTAGGAAAAGTTCTGCGAGGTAAAGTCCTGTTACAGTGTGAGGTGTGGACTAGTACATGAGCAAAAGGTTTGCTAATAGATGGTATAAGAATGTGGTTGACTTTCCATGCTCTGCCAGAGCTTGCTTTGACAATGCTTTCTTTAAGATTTGCACTCAACTTTCTATGACCATTGGATGATGCTAGATGTAGTGTTTCCATTATTCTGTAAACACTGTTAAAATTCAAATAATATGAATTGATACGATATGAATTCTGGACCTCTGTAACTCACTCCAGTTTCTGCCACTACCACAGCACAGAAAGAGCTTTAGCTAAAGTTTTAAATGATGGACTTGTTGCGCCTGACACTAGTGCCATAAGCCTCCTATGGCCTTCGACACAGTCTCACACCATATTTGGATTCAGAGACTCCACAACCTAAGAGCTTGTGGGGCAGCGTTCAACTGGTTTACTCCGTAACTCACTGACAGAAAACATTTCATTACCTTATCAGGTCATAAACACAACAGTTATCACATGTGGCGTCCCGCAGGGTTCTGTTCTAGGGCCACTGCTCTTCATTATTTCCATTCAAATTTCCTAAACTCAACAGTGATAATTAATTGTCTTTGGGACAAAATCCACAACACTTTCTCCCCCTTGCCTCTGGTCCACAACCTTGGTGTTACCTTTGACCCAACCCTCTCAATTGACACACACATACGTTCCATAGTAAAAACAGCTTACTTCCATCTTTGCAACATCGCCTGACTTAGGCCCTGCCTTTCTAACTCTGCTGCTGAGTCCCTCATTCACGCCTTTATCTCTAGTCGTCTTAACTACTGCAACTTACTACTCGCTGTTATTGCTGCTAAATCTTTCCATAAACTCCAGATAGTCCAGAGCTCTGCTGCTCACCTCCTCACTCACACTCGCTCACAGTTAAATTACTAGCTAAGTTACATGTTCCTCTGTTTAATTAATCAGCTTTGGGGACGTAGCTACACTTAATGCTATGAGAAACCGGGCCGGAGCGTTAAGAGAATTTACGAACGACGTAGCGTTAAGAAGGTTTCTGGAAATGCGCCCTTGAGCTTTGAAAACCTTTAAAACATTGCTTCACAATGACACCTAGTGGCTAAATTATAGTACTCCATGGACAGTGTCTTGGACAAACGTCTAAATACAGTTTCCATGTGGTGTTATCTTACGTTCCAATAAACGTTCATTCTGTGTCACTATGCACATTCCGTTGTTTGTGTTTGACAGTGCCGTTTTTGTTATTTTTTCTTTTTAATTGTATGGAGGATTCCTGTTTAATGTGATTCTATGGAGAGTGCTTGAGCATCAATATTGTCTAGCAATCAAGTGTCCAACAGAAAGGCACTCTATCTGTTCAACTGTCGTTGCATTGTGATGATTTCTCCTCTTACTCAAAATCCAATCACAGATCTGGCATCTGACAGAACAACATTTTGTGATTTATTTATTTTTTTGCCTAATGAAGCAAAACAATTGAAAAGATATGAAGTGCTCGCTGTTTCGAGTTTACTTTTTAAAATCATTTAAAAAAAGTACTCTCTCTCCACACAATACCTCTATCTTCATTTATTTCCACCTTGCCTCTCTTAACCACCTGCGATCAGTGGTGGAGGAAGTACTGAAGCTTAGTACCTAAGTAAAAGTATAAATATCCTGCAAAATATGTACTCAAGTAAAAGTAGAAGTGCTACATCAACAATCTTACTTAAGTGAAAGTACTAAGTACTTACTTTTAAATTTACTTTAAAGTATTTTTTTAAGTAAAAGTACTCACAGAATGGTTTGTCTTACTGTCTCGGGTGTGCCATTTTGTAAAAGAATAGTAGATATACTGACTTACGCCTCTACCGATTACAAGCAACTATACAGTATATGTGTATTGGAACGTTTGGTGTGCTTATTGTGCGTGCACTCTGCAATACTGTGTGTACCCTAACTTAGAATTATGTGGATGACAAGTTATCTACTAGGTATTACCCACTAATATACCATTAAGATAAACTATGTTGAATGGGTCCATGTTGAATGTCTCGTCTTTTTGAAATCAAGCCAGTCTACCAGCTCGTACTGCTAATTGACGCGCGCTCTGCCATCATTGGAGCTAATAAAGCCACCTGATTGGTAGGAAATGGCAAACAACGCCAGAACGCAATAGGCTAACTATTTTTTCATGCAAGATTTTGAGGAAATTGTGTTCATAAAATGTAACGACTAACGGCATAAATTGTAGAAATGTAGTGGAGTAGAAAGTACAGATAGTTTCCGCAAAATGTAATAGAGTAAAATAAAAAGTATTCATTATTATTTTTACTTAAGTAAAGTACAGATACGTAAAAATGTACTTAAGTACAGTAACGAATACAAATACTTTGTTACATTCCACCGCTGCCTGCGATGCAACAATACATTCATGATGTACTCTCTATTATATTAGCATGGTTAATTCTACAAGTTTAAAAGTCACCGTAATTACATCAATATAACGATAAATATTTATATATTCAATACATTTATTTCAGTTATGTTGCTGCCTATAGCATTTATTTATAATAAGGTAATATCTCTTTTTTCATTTTTTATATGAGAGTCAGTTAGTGAAGGTTGTGGCAGTACATAGTATTGTTATTTGCAATCAATAATCAGAATTACCCAAGGTCTCACAATTTGGAATACAGCACAATTTATAGAGACATCTGACCACTAGACAGTATTTTTTTTATATGCAACACAAAGCACAGTGAATTACTTGCAGTTCTTTTATGTTTTCTGTTTTTTCATATGTGTAATTTTTATAAAAATGTGATGGGCTACTAACCACCAGGTAACAATATGAATAAATGTGATTGACGTACTGTACAGGGAGGCGCTAATATTTGGCTTTTCTTTCTCTTTAAAATAAAACGCCCTCTTTCGGCTAACAGGAAGCCGAAGCCTGGTCCCAGGAAGTGAACGTAGGACGTGGAAGCAGCCTGCCGAGGAGCGTTTCGTTTAATTCGGCAGCGTAACACCATGGCGGCGCGATGCCCGGAGAAGCTGGCCTCTCTCTATCAGCGCTATGAGGAATATGTCACAAAAAATCCGGCAGCCACTGCCCAGCTGGAGAGCACGGTCCGGACGCTATCCTATCTCATTGCTGGTGAGAAGTGCTGTCTGACGAAGTGAAACCAAAACTGCTAAAGTCTGGAAAGCTTTCGAACCCAAACAAGGGACCACATACTCTCTGCGTGGTATAGGTAGTATCAGCGGTGACTTGTGCATGCTGTAGACAACTTATAATTTAATCGTGAATCTGTATAATAATATATACCAAAACAATTAATGATCTCCATATAAATGTATCCAGCACATTCATTCTTTATTCCGCGTTTTTTAAATGGTTTATTTTAAGAGTGTCCATTGCGTGTAACGTTTCAAAAAACAGGTTGTTACTTGCAGAAGTTGAAAATCGTATGGAAATAATAAAAGTCAACATTTTAAAAACAAGCTCTTTACGCGTTGTGGGATGCGGTCACGCAAAAAAGAAAAAAAATCGTTCGCTTCTTGCTTATTTTTTTAGCCTTCACTAGGTGAACTAAACCAGTTGCAAATTCCTACAAGTAAATTAATGCTAAAAACATAATTTCTTCCGGTTCCCTGCTGCAGTCCAAAGAGATACAGTTAGGCTATTTTGCGTCTGTAAATTTCCCCACGGGGATCAATAAAGTATCAATTATTATTATTATTATTATTATTATTATTAAATTGCCCGTAGCGTATAACTGTGAATGTGTGCGCTCTTCAGTGGACTAGCGTCGCATCCTAGTTTTGTCCCCTGCTCTCTCTGGGCTCCAATCCCCCGACTCCCTCCAGCAAAACTAACTATGATAAGCAGTTGTAAGATGGGTTATGTTTTAAATTTTGAAAATAAGTATTTTTCCTTTCACAGGTCGATTTGCAGATTCTCATGAACTGTCAGAGTTAGGTAAGATTCATGTCCTTGCTACATAATGTCATACATACAGTACCAGACAAAAGTTTGGACACGCCAAGCTGCCTACAAAGGAAAGTGATAGTGTTGCATCACATAACCTGGGCACCTGGCCAAAACACAGTAGAAATGGTTTTGGAGGAGTTTGACCAAAATGAAGGAAAAGTGGCCAAAGAATGCTCAGCATACAGTATATGTGGGACCTCCTTCAGGACAGCTGGACCACCTCATGAAACTGGCATAGGGGAAACAGTAGGGTCAGCCAGTCCCTTGGAGCAGTTGGGGGTTAATAGCCTTGCACAAGGTGGGGTCACACTATGAACCACATGATTTGAACCAGCAACCTTCTGAGTCCCAACCCACAGTGCAATCCCCCCTACAGTTTTTTAAGTACTGTTTTGGTTAGTGCATAATTCCATATATGCTATTTTATAGTGTTGATGTCTTTATTGTAAAATATAGAGAATAGTATAAATACACCTTCATATGGGTAGGTTTGTCCAAACTTCTGACTAATTGTGTGTGTGTTTGTGTGTGTGTGTTGCTCTGCAGGTTAGGGACAGTGGGTTCAAAACATGTGACCAATAGAGTAATCTTTATGTCTGTATGAACTACTTCTCTGTCCTTCAGTGTACTCGGCCTCCAATTTGCTTGTGCTGTTGAATGATGGCATACTGCGCAATCGACTGTCCTGCACCCGTCCTCTGGTAAGTGCATCTCTCTTTACTTCATCCTCACACACAATATTCATATCATATAAACAAACAGGATTTTAAAATCACAGGAAGCAGGTAAGGGAGAAAGTCCTCATTAATGTAGTGAAACTCCCTAATCTGCTTCCTGTGATTTTAATTTCCTGTTTGATTATGTATGTATAACTTGTGTGAGGATGAATTGATACAAAGGTATTTGTGTTATATATAATACAAAGGTATTGTCAGTATGTTTAATCTTGTGTAACTGGGATTTGTTATAATTGGGAGTGTTCACAGGTGGTGCCCTGTATGACACTTGTTCAATTACTGTTTAGGAGGACGTGGTTATGAACGTGTCTGTTTAAAATTTGGAAGCACAAATTGTTATCAGCACTCAGAAGAAGGCATCAAGCTGAAATGCATCTGTGCTGAGACATCTCACATAATAAACACTTTGATTATGCAATGTGTGACCTTTCTCAGTTTAATTTAATGATTTACAATGACAGTCCAGTACTTTGAGAGTTGTATGAAGTTTGGTGGTGAAGCCTGTTCCCTAGAATTGCATGTTATTATAAGTGGAACAGTACATTTTTTTGAGCTGGAATATTACAGAAGCAAGGCTCTAATTTTCTTGCATTTTATTGTTTATTCACAGGCATTTGTATCAGGAATACTTTTACGTAAGCACATTCCTACAGGGAAAGCAGGGCAAAATTGATTGTGTTTCATAGCTGCCAGCAGAGAATTTGGTCCATCAGGTCCGTGTGACTTGCAGCTTGTGTGATTTCCAGTCTCTTGGCAGCCTGCTGCAGCATTGTTCCCTGATTTACAGTGGAGGTGAACGTCCAGGCTGAAGTTGCATTTCCTATAGGGTTACAGTGCAGTGTAGAATTTGTAGTTTGAGAACTATTTGAGTAAAATGAAGAACTTTAGAATAAGTATGAATGTCAGTGGTAAAGGCTATAGTGTTTGAATATGTCATATGCCCCTAATGGCTTCACTCTGGCCTACAGTTGTCTGTATGTACAATGTGTCCAGATGGCAGAGTGATGAGAATTTATAACCAGAAATATTTATAAGCACTATTGAACCTCTGGGTCACACGCCGTAAAATACAGTATAATAGCATACCACCAGTGCCGAATGTAACTGGAATGCAGACACAAAAAGTTGTCCAAATGCCTCATGCATACTCGAGCTGTACTGCTCAATTTAAAGTCATGACTTGTTCTCCATACGACGGGAAGCATTTTCTGACACCTTTTTCTCTTGCGTCATTAAGAGTAGGTTATTGAACGAATGCTGGTGTTCCATTACCTACTAGTTAAAGTACTTGTGTGCGGTTAGCATCTTCTGTGTAGGCACTGTTAGTTGATGTTGTACTTTTTCCTGAAAAGCAGTTAACAATAATAAACCGAATATAAAATAAATGTGCATTTATTTGCTCAGAATAGTTTGCATAAATAGTGCCATGATGGAACTGACATTTTCACTTGCGTTACTTGACGTTGCTGTGTCATTATGCTTAAACTTCTGTCAAGTGTCAGCCAGCATATTCTCTGCCTGCATGAAATGACAAAACATATCATCCTTCAGCCCGTATCACAGAAGAAACTGCTCACTTGGCTGACCATCCTTGAGTATGTGGAGGTCTTCACCGAGATGGGAGCAACCAAACTGTGGGGTGAAGGGGGGCGTTGGCTGGTCATTGTTCTCATCCAGATAGCAAAGTAAGGCTCTTGCATCAACATCTTTGTTTGCAATTGTTTTTTTCCTACCTCTTTGTGACTGGATCATTGAAATAACTCACTGACTCATTTTGGCTCAATCTTTACCCCTGTGTAAAAACATGTCATCTCCATTCCAGAAATGTCTATTTTCTTCACAAAAAATTACCCTAAGCATACAACTTCAGGGATAACTACTTTTTAACTACTAACATTTTTACTAAATGAAAAATTATTAAAACTAGTCAACCATACTATAGTGGATGCTGTGAACTCAAAATAAGGGTTCTGATATCTTCAATATAAATATAGCTACTGTTTTTTTTTATATATTTTATGGGGATTTGGAATGTGCAACAAAACTGCCCTATTTGAAGACAGGATCAGAAAACGGAAAAACAAGAATATTCAAGATGAAGTAAAAATATATAAACAGAACATTTTATAAAAATTGCTGGTCATAGTTTAGCCTTTCCTACACTTTCGGATCTGATTTGGTTGGAAGCATAAATTGCTGGGCAGATTTCCCAGGCAAAAAGGCATGATCCTGTCAGGCTGGCAAACTCTTGTCCCTCCCATGCAGCAGTGGGCTGCCAGGTTGGCCCCCCCCGACAACCTTCACATCATTGGCAGCCCCCTCCCCCACCCCCCGGGCTCTCACAGATTGTCATCATTCTGGGTCCTTACATATTCCTCTGTAAAGTTTCTGCAGCGTTAGATAGGGGAGATGTTAACATGGATTTACATATAATCAGTGCACATGTTACAGAATATGATGGAAGTGTGGTGTTTGGGCAGGTTATTAGAAAAAAAATGTTTGAATCTACTGTCTCGTGTTGTAGAGCAGTTCTCCGCATCCTGCTTCTGTTCTGGTACAAGTCCGGCATCCAGACGTCTCCTCCCATCGTTCCCTTGGACAGGGATACTCAGCTACAAGAAAAAGGTCAGAGCCCAGGTCCTTTGAAATATAGGAACAGTTACAATACTGTAACACTACTGTTATTGTCCAAGTTGTCTGCTTTAGGTGGCATGTGATGATATCCCACTGCAACATCATACACAGAGCATTGTGGGGTTATAACTAGTGATGGCCAAATGAAGCTTCGTGAACCACTTGCTGTGTTTTCTGACCCCACTAGATGGTGCTCTCTGTTTAAAAAAACGGCTCAAAGCATGCCCCCAAGCAAACCAAGAATGCCATTTAGTGGGGACAAAAAATACAGCAAATGGTTCATGAAGCTTCATCTAGCCATCACTATAGCTGGGCGATATGGCCGATTTTTTTTCACAATAAATGTGATTTTCGATTTTAATCGATTTTCTCCTCCCCTACTCCAAAATCAAACTATAGATGACACATAAATGGTTCAAAACAAGTTTTAACTTTATTTTGTTTATTTAATTTTTCTTTAGAGTTAAAGTGCCAAAAAATATGCTTGTGAGATGGCAGACCATGCCACTGTAAACACTTTTAGAAACTTATAAAAACTTTTAGCATGTTAATGAATCCTGGCTTTTCCACAGTATGTATGAGCACCATGTCTTTTGCAATATACATCGCGACAGCGTTTGTTATCGCCTTCCAGTTCGAAAACGTGTTAGGGACAGTTGCTTGCTTAACTTTGGATGTTGTGCTGGTGAGGTTATTTTCATTTCGCTGGGAGCTGCACTTCTCCCACTCCGCTGCGTGCCTCTGCTTTAGGTGCTGGAATAAATTTGTCGTGCTGCTTCTTTTGGTTGCAAGTTTTTAACTTTGCAATGAGGACTTGTTTGGTCTGTGTCCAACGGCGCAAAACCGAACCATTTAATTGCCATGTTTTTTGTGAATCCGCTACAGTGTTTGGGTGCGCCACGCTAATTTACCCGTGAAGAACGGTGCGTCGCATTAGTTCCGCTTTTGGCGATCGCGTGTAAAATAAGTACAGTAAAATTATCGATTTTCATAAAAACACATCGTCCTGAACTGTAAATTCGAATTAATCGATAAAATCGATTTATCGCCCACCTCTAGCCATCACTAATTAGAACTATCTGTTCTAAATATTATAAAGTATCAAACTAAGAGGCATTAATCATACAACTAGAAGCAGCATGGAGTGATGGAGGATCCTCGATCACTTTTTCCAAGTTCTGTTGGCTTTTTTGTCTCCTTCCAGAAGCAGAGGATGAGGAAGACGTGTCCTTTGTGGGCCAGCGATCTGGAAGAGTAATGCGACCTTTGGCCAGTGGTAAGCCCACTCCTTCCTTATAAAGGTACCCCCAGGTCATTATAGTACTGACTCCTGTCTGTCTGTGGCCCAGGTCCTTCACAGCACATCCGTCTCTGGGGGGCCCCAAAGCGGGTCAGGAGACACGGCCATCAGGAAGACGATGCTTCCCACCCCCCCACGCCCCTGGGCCTACAGGAGACGATTGCAGAATCCCTGTATATCGCACGGCCCCTAGTGCACTGTATCCTGTTTACTTTAGTGACAAATAGCAGTTGTATCTTGCTTGTAATTAGAATTATTTTATTCCATCTTTGTAGTTCTAAATATCAGGCAAATTAGGAGTGTAAATGCTTCCTGATCAGATATCGAGCTCCGCAACTCAACTGAAGGTTCAGGTCTGAGGTGTTTTTTCAATGACTATGATCATGGGTCCCATACCAATTGATCAAATTCAGATTTGGAATGGGTAGCTGGAGAATCTTAGCTGCCACAAAATCAGCTTAATCATCAGTTGGACACCTGGTGTTTCCCATTTGCTCGTATTGAGAATGGCATCACTGTGCTTGTTTACAGTGATCTGTCCTGCTTGACATATAGGGGTGCACTGCAAAGAGAGAGCTTAGATCAGTGGTACTAGTCAGACAAGGTTGTTTGTAGGATTCCATGGGGTCGGACTAAGGAGGAGTAATTAAAAGGACTGAAAGTTGTAGGCATTTCTATTGAATAGACATAGTGTTAGCTAGCATTAGCCTTTTTGGGGCCTTGTTGTCTTCATTCTGTGTGTTTTCCTAAGCTCTGTCTCAGTGCTCTTCCTTGGACTTTGTGGAAGACGGTCATGGAAGCCATGGCTAGTATCTGGGATTCTGGAAATAACAAGGTAAAGATTTCCTGCTTCCCATAAAAAAGTGAAAAGTTCCAGCATTCTCAGCGTAGTAACCTGTAATAGCTGTTTTGCAAAGTGCTTCAAAACTGTCACAGAATGTGAAACGTAAGGCAATGTTTGTCTCTAGTTTTGGTCTGATGAATGACACAAAGTTGCTGAATCGACGGGAGCAAGCAGAGATGAGACGCAGGGCATTCCTCCTGTTCTACTACCTGCTCAGGTCCCCGTTCTATGACAGATACTCTGAGTAAGTTCCCCATTTAATGTTTAAATGAATTGTTTCATTGGATTAATTAATTAATGTTTAATATGCTCTTTACACATTTAATACTCATTCTACATGTAAATTAAATTCAAACTTTTGTGTAGGGCTTCTTGTTTCAGTGCAGGGGATCCCAACTGCCTGCATGTAGCCAGTATCCCATTTGGGAACAGAACGCACATAAATTGTGTATTTTCGTGCTATGCCGCCCCCCCCGACAATCATCAAGTTCAACCCCCCCGGAGCTAGCAAAAGTTAGTAAACAGTTGGCAAGCAAGCTGTGATGTTGCCAATATTTTCCTAATAATTGGGTAGTCTTGCACAAAATATGTAGTCTGCAGTCATCAAAAACTTGAAGCCCTATTTTCAAACTTTATACAACTTAATACAATAGAGGTGGTTTACTCATCAGTATGGGGAAATCATCTGGCCGCCTCATTCCCCGTTCCTCTCTCAGGGTTTCCGCGGGTCTTAAAAAAGTCTTAAATCACTTTTCCGTGAATTAAGGCCTTGAAAAGGTCTTAAATCAGACCAGCAAGTCTTAAATTCATATGATCATGGCATAAATTTTTGTGAGGGATTGTTTCCTCATGTGTTTTGATTTTAAAGAGAAGCGAAAGCGTAATTTCTGTGCTACATGGCTTAGATCGCTCAATATTCATTGAACGGTAGATGGCGTTATGTGCTGCTTCATCTGTCAGTAACCCGAAGAAGAACTTGACAAGCATGCGCAGATGAACCCTTTCTTCTAAAGCGCGCTATTTAGACATGTAGTGTGATTGGAAGGCCGAAGAATACGTATATTCTTATGATTCTTATGATTATAATATATTCGTATGAATTTCCCTTCGATATTTTTTTTTTCCTTAAATTTTCTTTATTTGGTCTTAAAAAGGTCTTAAAGTCTTAAATTTACTCTTAGAAAACCTGCAGAAACCCTGCTCTCTTTTGTATCTGTGTGTGTGCATAGGTGAGAACAAATACAACCTTTTGGACTTTGTAACTAACTTTAAAAATTTGCAGGACGAAGATTCTGTTTCTGCTGCAGTTGTTGGCAGACAACATCCCAGGAGTTGGATTAGTTGCACGTATGTATGAAGTTTGTAGTAGTCTCGCAAAAAAATATTCTTTATCAATCAGAACACATATCTTGCAACATGTCAATTTTCCATCAGAAATACACCATTTATAGTAACAATATGGCAGTTCCACATTCCCTAAGCATTTTCTCCTTTCTCCTTTATTTAGGTCCTTTAATGGAGTACTTACCAATATGGCAGAAGATTTATTTTTACAACTGGGGTTGAGACTCTCAATCTAAAAATGGTCTGAAAACAATGTCACCAAAAGGATCACAGCAGAGAATTGTTTGGAGCAAATACAGAGAAATTGCTTCAACCCCATGCAAGTCTGCGATAGCGTCTGCAAAAAATGCACGAGAGTTTGAATCAGTGGTACAAACTTCGTTGTACTACATGTGGGCAGCTCAGTTTTTTCCTCTTTTTATATATTCTGGATGTGATTTCTTAATTTTTGTCATCATTGCAGGAAAAGTGTGATACAGGCTTCATTTTGGATTTTTTTTTTTGGAAACAATTCCATATTTTTCTCACAGAATGTAAATGATTGCCCAGTAATCCACTGGTTTATATGGGAGTGATAAGTACAAGTTGCTTTAACAAGTTTCTTCATTCTGCTGGAAGGTCACTAAGTTCTTGAATGTGTGTGGTCATTCCTGTAAGCTGAATGAAAGCACTTCTCTGATGAAGTTTTGTAATGGCCATTTATACACCACCAGGGTAACACATCATCTTAGGGCCATAGGACTAACTAGAATGAGATGGCTGGTTATCTAATGAGTTTTTTTCACCATGTGAAAAGTACTTTTGTTTGTTCCCAAGAAAAAAGAAAATATTAAACTTTTTAAATGTTTTCCCAATGAGAATTCAGACTTGGAAATTTTTCATGAGAATGTATGTAAAAATGATTTTATATAAAATGAGTAAATAGTCAATGAATAAAAACAGTCCTACCAAGTGTAGTATTAGATTATGCTTTGTTTTTCTTCACTCTTAGTCTGTATATTAAATGTTCATTAGCTAATATGGGCAGTTCTTAATCCTTCATCTTTCGTATGTGATTTTGTTAATAATGTTAAATATTTTACTAAATCTAGGCATTCATATTCATACTTAGATAATCAGACTGTTGACATCTGTCATGACCACTTCAGCTGGTATCTGGGTTGGGGACTCAGCTTCATGTGCATATGCCGATATTTGCCATCTTCATACTGTTGTTTGGAGGGGGTGGCTAAGCATGGTCTTTCATAGTGTGGTTGTGTACAGTTGTCACAGGGGACGCTGGGGAAACTGTGAAAGAGCCAGGAGCTGAGAACAGGGACTAATCTCTCACCAGCTGAAGGCTGTTATACTCATTTCAATGCAGGCAAAATATTTTATTAGTTACACTCTCTCGGGGCGTGTTAAAATCTAGAAGAAAACCATACATCATGTCCTAGCCACACAGTAAACAAAATCAGGATGCAGGTCTGCCTGCTCAGTTTCCATTAACACTGTTTACGTTGTAATGTAATTCCATTTTATCTTCTGCAAACCATTCCAGCTCCAGTAAGAAACCCAGCTATTATAAAATAAAAAATTGGGAATGTAATGCATAACAGAATCTATATAAATTAGTCAATGATATCCTACTTCAAAAAGTCTTTGGTCTTTGAGGCTTGTACACACAAAGGAACATGGTAATTAATGTAAAGGAGATGAAGTCAGGGTGCCCCAGTATTTAAATAAATACATCCACTCCAGGGCAATATTTTCATAATTTTATATAAAAATAAGGTTTTTTATGCAAATGGTTGGAGAGGTGCTATGGTCTAGCAAGATTTCAGGTTTGATTTGTTGGTCATAGAGATAATTATCTTGGACTTTGAAGTTAAAAGAACAGCTGGACTACAAGAGCAGGTGATAAAGAGGAGACAGCTTTTATGGTTAGTGTCATATAACACGGAGCATTATGAATCTTGGACATATTTTCCAGGAATCCCTTTAACTATTCCTAGTTCGTTCATAGCAGAACCACTGATAAGGCTGTATTTCTTACAATGAGCAAAAGCTCTACTTTTATAATTATCACTAATCTATAGTTCTAAAGGTGTTAAAGTAAATATTAACTAATGCACATCATGTTTGGATCTCAGGCATTTGGAAAGCTTTGTTCAAACTCTTTCAGATAAATGAAATCAGGAACACATGCACCACAATAAAATCACCAGGTTGCAGCTGAAAAGTGAATCCAATTTGATCTGTCTTTACAGACTGTGCCGTAGAAACTACTTTGCTACACATATAAAATTCTTCTGTAAGGTACTACAGGCAGGGTCGGCCCAACATTTTTCAGGGCCCTAAGCAATGGCTGTCTAACCTAGTTTCATTTGTCACATAACTTTCCATTCTGACAGGATGATCAGAGGGGGCGCCCTCTGGTGGTCTCTGGGCCCTAAGTAGCCAATTACTTCTCTGGGGGGGGGGGGGGCAGCCCTGATTACAAGTCTTGGTGGAACTTATCCTTTAGTGTGGATAAATAGTACTGATGCTGTAATGGAGTTTGGAGATGTGAAAGCTAGGGGCACAAAGCATATGAATCGTGAATATATTAGATCTGTAAAGACATGCTCCTGAAAGCAAGACACAAGCATTTAAAAGTATAATCCATATGATGATGATTATCACTTAACTTTGAAAAACATAACAGATTCTTGATGAATAAATGTAAATACACTTCAGTATTACTTCAGTATACAGAGCAGTTGTACTTTTACTAAAGATTATCTTGGTTAGCTACAGCAAAAGAAATGTTCTAAACTTACTTATTATTCCCATTCTGTGTAATTTTGTTTGTCTAAAGGTCCTTAGAAAAGTTTACATTTTTAAAACTTTCAAGGAAAATAGGGAAAAAAAAGTTCTTAGGTAGTGAAAAGTTAGTCAACACTGCTTTATCAGAGCATAATGACTTAATATAGGGTAAATATTAGGAAAAAAGCTGTGACATATTTCATTATGCAACTTTTAATGGGCTGATTAATTTCCTTTTGAATACATTTGTTATATTCAAGAGGAATGCACACAAATCTGAAGGTTTTATTGAATGACATATTTGAGTACACCCGCAGGGCACAGGCGGTGAGTCACCCTGGATGGGATGGCAGTCCATCGCAGGGCACATTTGCACTAACAAACACAACCATTTGCTATGGGGTAAATTAGCAGGGCCAGTGAGCCTAACTGAATGTTTCTTGACTGTGAGGAGAAACTGGACCATGTGGAGGATGGAGGAATTCCACGTGACACACGGAGATCATGCAAACTCCACACATACAGGGTAGAATTCAAATCTCCCAACACCGTGTCACCTCATTCGTAGATATTTTAGGATTATGTAGCATAGAATGGAGCAAGCCGTGAGTAAAATATTCATTTATATTAAGGATTTATACAATTACAACCACTGAATGACTTACTCTGAATTTTCCAAAGCTGGCATTAGTATAAATGTGAAGAACCATTGGTTTTATTGCTAAAAAGTGTGTACAAGTCTTCCTGATAACATTGTGCAAGCTGAATCCTTGGGTTCCTTTAAATCAGAGCTAGATAAGATTTTAACAACTCTGAGCTATTAGTTAAGTTCTCCCCAAGCGAACTCGATGGGCCGAATGGCCTCCTCTCGTTTGTATAGTTCTTATGTTCTTATAACATAAAAAATAAAATAAACTTTGTCTCTAAAAAGATATTCAGATTTTAGCCAATCACTTTATTTCAGTTTTTAAAAAAATCATCCTTCCCCAACACTACATAAAAGTACACATTGATAATGTGACACATTCACACCCATTCATATAAACAGACCTTTACATAAACCTACAGAGAGACGTACATTTTAAATTTCTTCTCTTGAATAAACTTAAAAAATCCCAGGCAGTAGTCTGTAAGGCACAGCATTGCTGTATCGTATCCAGTCCTTGCCATACTTGTTGTGACAACGGTGTTCATCACGAATACACCGGTGCACTAACAGGATGGTCATGTAAACTATGTAAAAGTAGGGCAGTAGGTAGCTGGCCCCACAGGCCAGGCAGTAAGCCAACGAGCCCAGGAGGTCACCTGTATAATTGAGGTGGCGTGCCACGCCCCAGAAGCCAGAGATCAGCAGCTTGCTGTGGTGCTTGTGACCATCTGCTGAGCTGTAGGCGCACTCTACGTATGCCGGCTTGCGGCCCCAGATGGTGCATTTGCCATCAGTACGCCGAAAGAGATCCTTCTGATGGTTGGTCGTGCGGAACAAGTAGTAGCCAAACAGCCCCAGGAGGAGGACCCCACTGGCATAGATGGTGGACAACTGCACTGGGTGGTATACCAAATACAGGCCCTAGGGATGAAATTTGATTGTGTGTTGGTAAGAACTGCTAACCACTATCAATGAAGTTATGCTTTCTTTGATTTTTTTTTTACCAAGTATGACAGGTCACACAAAATTTTGCTTTACTGCTGCAGAAACACAACAGATTAATTAACAACAGATTAAAGTATATTTAGATAAACTATTTTTTGTAGATCTTAGCTCTACATACTGCTGCATCAAAATAATGGTCTAATGACACAATTTCAACTAATATAGCATATATGGGGAAATGTACCTGCAAGGTGTACAAGAAGGGCAGCCACACACAGTCTCCCCAACCCAGATACCAGCCGAAGTGGTCGTGACAGATGTCAATGGTCTTTAAATACCAGGCCTCATTCCAGAAAAAGTCCAAGACATAAACTGCCTGCAAAACAAAGACAATAGAGAAACTAATTCACATTAAGAAACTACATAATAAACTATGTTGCAATACTTGAAAAATATTGGTGGAGGCTTTCCAGGTAAAATGTATGTACAATGAATGTGTAACGGCAGGGAAACAAAGTAGTAATTACAGGGAACCTCTTACCTGGAGCACGTTGACTAATACCATGGAGTTTGTGACTTGGCCATAGAGTTCCTGCTGTTTGGCAGCGTAAGATAAGTTAATGAGTGTCCAGGCCACAATCCCAGGCCGCCCATTGAAAAATAGCTTGAAGTCAAACCATTTTCCGATGCGGGGGTTAAATTCAATTCCCATCATGTAGTCATAAAAGAAATTTCCTGTGAATTTGCTGCAAAATTACAAGCTGGTCAACATTTGAACTTACACGCCATTACATTTTTTTCTTTATTGAGAAATCTAATTCTAAAAAAACTTACCAATCTTCCGCATTGGTGGGAAAGAGATAGGCCTTGACAAAAGCCAGAGTAGCAACAGTATACCCCAGAATATTGGCACACCAAAGCAATGGGATCCAGTTGTCAATAATGATGGTAGGGGAAAACCAATGAAAATGATAGGCATTAGCAAACCACAGGATGTGGGTAATGATCCATGACTGCAGGCCATTGATTTCATACTTGTTTATGTAACCTGTGAGGTAAAAATATAGATATATTCAGCTCAGTGATCCATCCATCCTCCAAATGCTTATTCAGTAATGGGTCATGGTATGTATTCAAACTAAATAAGTAATTAAGTTTTTATAAAGCATCCTTCCCAAAGAGTGCTTCACATACATATTCAATATAAGCTTATTTTAATATAATGTATTATATGCACAGTACCAGTCAAAAGTATGGACACACCTCTTCCTGCCCCTGGCAGATTCCAGTGTGCGACCCACCCACCCACATACAGACACTTCCCTTTATTTGGGGGAGAACTGTACTTATATTTGTTCTGCTGTTCTCTACATTCTAGAATAATGATAAAGACATAAAAAGTATAAAATAACATGTATGGAATCATACACTGACCAAAAAAGTATTAAACAAAAAAAATAATAGGTGGGGGGGCATCTCTGTGAGCTGGGAGTCAGAAGGTTGCTGGTCCAAATGCCTGGGACTGCAAACTGTTTCGCCACTAGGCTCTTGAGACTGGCTGACCCTGCTGCCTCCTGTACTCCAGTTTCATAAGGTGGCCTCCTGGGATGCTGTTCCAGCTGTCCTGAAGGAGGTACCACACATGCTGAGCACTCATTGGCCACTTTTCTTTTACTCTCTGGTCAAACTCCAAAACCATCTGTACTGTGTTTAGGTCAGGTGGCCAGGTCATGTGACACTATCACTCTCCTTTGTAGGTATGTCTAATCTTTTGACTGGTACAATAAATATTTGGTAGCATTAACCACGTCTTCCCATTTACCCCCCCGCATACCTGCTGGAGTGCGCGCCCCACCCTGAATGCCACCAACGTAGACAGGCAGTAACTTGTGAATAATGTCAGGAACACACATGAACAGGACAACCTAGAGAATATACACAGCAATTCTGAACCTGATAAAATGAATTCAAAATCAAATACAATTAAAAGATTGCTCATTTAAATATTGCTGAGAAGGGATGAATTATAAAACTTTTCATGATTTCTTCTGGGTCTGTTGATCTTAGTAAGCATCATTTTAGCAGGAAAGCAGTTGTTTGCACAGTCACGTAGGTGTTCAGCTGTTAATTTCTCTTCTTGTTTGAAGAGCAAATGTAAAGACCACCTTTATGATCATGAGGTCCTGACAATTTTCCATGGGATGAACATTCTGGAAAAATGTTATACAACATGTTTCTTTGGAAAACCAGCCCTGTACGCCGCACTTCAGTCTGCCTGTACCTGAAAGGAGACCCAAACAGCATATATCTTGGCAGCGGTCCAACTGAAAGCAGGGGTGAGTTTCCAAATTGACCAAAGCTTAGCCTCTCCACTGTAGAGGTCCAGCAGAGGCTGGGTGACCGAACACTGGTATTGGTCACAGGCCATAATGAAGAAGAAGACGATGAAGGGAGCCAGAGAGAGGAGCAGAATCACGCTGATGAGTGAGAACCAGTCCACTTCCCTGGGGAAGACCACAATTTTTAATCATATATACCTACAGGGTAATTGAAATTTATTATGAAATACAGTGGTACCTCGGTTTTCGAACTTAATCCGTTCTGGACTCCGGATCTAATCCTAAAAAGTTCAAGTTCTGATCGAATTTTTCCCATAAGAAATAATGGAAAACCAATTAATTGGTTCCTGGCCCCCCAAAATTACACCTAAA